TGACATCTGTCTTCGTCCAGGTTCATAGTAAACTTGAACATCAACATTAGAGATTCCTTTTACTTAGTGAAATAGTAGCAATAAAAAATGTCAAATGTCAAATCCTCAGGCAAAGGGTTTACACTATTGTCTGCAAAGCAAAAGTTTGGTCAGGAAAAAAAAATGCCTCCAATTACTACCTTCCTTAATGCAGCTATAAACAGCTACTTTATCTTTTACTAGACATCCTATATAATAAAAACCTAATATGGTAAATGTGTAGTCGTTTGTTCAACCAATCAAAGCGTAATATGCTAATGATATGCTAAGGCCGCTCAGCCACTCGTTATGACATGCACTAACCACCAGGGGACAGACACTCCGACCCATAGGTTAGCTTGCTGCTGGGGTCCGGCCGATTGGGACTGAGTGAGATGGGCAGGTCATGACCTGGAGCCCTCCCATGTTCCCTCCCCAGCTGGCCAACCTCCTGCATCCCCAATTATACACCGGTGGGGTCCCTTAGCCTGGCCTGCACCCTCTCACAATCTGGGACCCCTTGGGGATTGTCGGAGAACCAGTTTTGGTCCAGTCCTGCTCGAGGCAGGAACTGCCCCCTGGTGGTCAGTGCACTCCCACAGGGGGAGCGCCGCTCAGCCAGAAGCCGGGCTCACAGCTAGCGAACGCAGTAGAGGTGGTGGGAGCCTCTCCTGCCTGCACAGCAGCCAGACATCCCCCAAGGGCTCCTGGCCTGAGAGAGCACAGCCTGGCTGAGGGATGCCCCCCGAGTGCACAGATTTCATGCACCAGGCCTCTAGTAAATTATTAAAACACAAGAGGCCCAGTGCACGGACTTGTGCACCCAGGGGCCGAAACCAGCAGTCCCAACACCGCCTGCCACTCCTGCTTTCCCCGCCCCGCTGCACCTGCCACTGCCGCTGCCACTCCGTAGGCTTGCTGCCACTCCACTGCGGTCTCTGGGCTGCGGCAGACAGCCACGAGCCCTGTGTCTGGTGCCTGTTGGTCAGCTGAGCATCTGCCTCCTGGTGGCCAGTGCATGTCATAATGACCAGTTCACCAGTCATTCGGTCACTTAGGCTAGAGGCACGAAAATTTGTGCAAAGTAGGCCTTCCTTCCCCTGGCTGCCAGCACAGCTTCCTTCCAGCACCCTGGACCCGGGCTTCCCTCCTCTGGCGGCTGGCACCTGGGACCCGGGCTGCTTCCCTCCTCTGGCGGCTGGCAGGCACCCAGGACTCACGCTGGCTTCCCTCGGGCCACCCACAGGCACCCGGGACCTGGGCTGACTTCACTCCAGCCACCCACAGGCACCTGGGACCTGGGCCAGATTCCCTTGGGCTGCCTGCAGGCACCCAGGACCCTGGCTGGCTTCCTTCTGGCCCCTGCTTCGTCAGGAAGGATGTCCAGAATGACATCCAGGACGTCTAGTGTAATTAGCATATTACCCTTTTATTATCATAGACTAGAGGCCAGTTGCACAAAGATTCATGTAAGAATAGGCCTTTCTTCCCCTGGCTTCACTCCCGGCCACCTGGGAGCCTGCAAGTCCTCATTCCCAGCCACTTGGGAACCTTCAAGTCTTCACTCTGGGCCGGAGCACTGCTCCTGTAGCTCCCTCCGCCCCCATCCTCCCTCTCATAGCAGGTGTCCCTCCCCACCCAGCCACTCCACACCTGCATATGCAAATTAACCCACCATCTTTGCTGGGTTTATTTGTATACCCACTCCTGATTGGCTGATGGGTATCATGGAGGTACGGTCAATTTGCATATTTCTCTTTTATTGTGTAGATGCTTAAAAGTAGCTGCTATATAGATATGGAGCAAGAAAGCTAAGATCTGAATCTACAATAATTGAAGATGGTATCAGTATTACCTTAAAGCCTTATAACCATATCGAAACAACAGGATAAAACAGGTTATATGAAAAGCATCATTCAACAGTCCTTCTCACATCCCCTTTTCAAATCTCAAAGTCACTGCAGAGGCAGGTTAGGGTAGTCGTTGAAAGAACAGGTCCTCAAATCAAAATGCCTCTTGCTCCTTGATTTGCAATTTGCTGGTTCAGTGATAAAGGGTAAATTATTTAATCTCTCCTAACTGTGAGTACTTAACTGCCTAAGTTTTCTCATCTCATACCAGATGCTGATTAATTGTGAATTATTATCATTAACTACAGGGAGGAAAAGATGGGGAAATTCCAAGGAAAGCTAATAGGCCTTGACTTTCTCTTTGCTAATAGCTCATCGCAAAGATGAATATAATACTAACAAACCCCAGTATTAGGTTTTGGGTTTTTGTTTTTTTTTAAGTTACTAATTGCATCAAGTACCTCATGCTCCCAGTGGGTATTCAATGAAGATAATTAGTCTTATGATATACTAGAGGTCTGATGCATTAATTTATGCACCAGTGGGGACCCTTAGCTTGGCCTGCGCCCTCTCGAAATCTGGGACCCCTTAGGGGATTTTGGACAGGCAGTTTCAACCCGATCCCGCAGGCCAGGGCAAGGAACCCCACCAGTGCATGATTGGGACCAAGGAGGGACTTGGAGAGGGCTCCAGGGCATGTCCAGCCTTTCTTGCTCAGTCCCAATGGGCCAGATTTCTGCAGCAAGCTAATCTACTGGTCAGAGCGTCTGCCCCCTAGTGGTCAGTGTACATCCTAGTGAGCTGTTGAGCAGCCTTATCATATCATTAGCATACTACACTTTCATTGGTTGAACAAAGTGACCGGACAACCAGACACTTAGCATGTTTTATTATATAGAATGCTTACTCACACTCTGCAGCCTTTGGGTTTGTACCATCTGCAGGACTGATTTAGGAGCAAGAGACTCACAGATGCTATGTACTCAACTAAGTTACTTTGGAGTATTCTGTATCTAGAAGTTTTTTTTTTTTATCTAGTTTTATTTTGTCTTATTTTCCATTTACAAGCCATGTATGTGTAATGGTCGGTCTAAAACAGAAAGCAAAAGCCGTCTGTAAACAGTACTAAATTCAAGAGTTAGGCAACTGGTCCTTACACAGCTAAAACTCTATTATGATTTTTCTTCTTTCTGACATTTCAACTAATCCCCATTTTGGCACAAATGCACCACGAGAAGTTCTCAGGTAGGCCATCTATCTTGTCCCGCCTAATCTTTAGGCACCAATAATATTATTCTTAGCAAGCCTGAATGTGAACAGTACTTCAGAATCTGAAAGTGGAAGGGACCTTACAGGTCACCAACCCAAACCAAAATGAAGGAGTAATCTTTCCCACATCTCTTCATCCGGCTTTGCCTGAAAACATGATGGTGGGGCACACTCCCTCTTGGGAGCATGCCAGTGCCTTTCCTATCTTTCCCCTCCTCCCCCCCCCAAAAAAAAAAAAAAAATACTACAGTGGTGGTAACAGTGGTAGAAATGGTAGGGGCTGCAACTGTTACTTATGCCCCAGGCACTACGTCCCATGTTCACATGCACTAACACATCGAATCAAACTGTGAAGTGAGAAACTCCTAAAAGATAATATAAGATGAAATTTTAAAAACCATTCCAAAAATGATAAAGCCTAAAAATTTAATAGAAAGGATTACAATATTAGCATAAATGAAAAGAATATTATTCATCCTCTAAATGATAGGCCGCCATTTTACTCAATTTAGTTCCACAGAGATAAATGCAAGAGATAAAAGCACTTTCATTCACTCATTTGAACGAGGTAAAGACAGTTGTTATTAAAGAAAGGCCCTTGCACCAGACACTTCAGTAAGTCCCAAAAGAACCATTACTACAATTTCTATTAAAATATGATCCCTGTAGACAAGGAGTGTCTACTTTGTTCTCAGTAAAGAGGTGATTGGTTCACAAAAATTGATAAAATGTAGTGGAGTCCAGGGCAACTCAGTATAATATATCCCAGTCTGCCACTAGCTATGACAGTAGGCAAGTCCATTAACCTGTCAAGTTGAAGATGTTACATTTATACGGATACATAAAGTTGTTTAAATAACTTTAAGCTGCTTTAAAAATAAAGTTGGTATAGTTATATAAAGTTATATGTATATATAAAACAATGTTGTTATAAAGGTATCATGTGCACACTAAATTGGTCTGTGTTTTGACAGGGGATTTCAGGCCACGTCCCCCACCTGGCGGGGCTTGATGGAGCACCTCAAGGCACGCGCCCTCCCCCAACCTGGTCTGGGCCAGGGGACCTGCGGCTATGCCCCCTGCCCTGCAGGGCTGGACAAGGGTAGGACTGGCCTGTCTGGATCCAGCCCAATTGGGGGAGGGCCAGCCGGGTGTGGGTCTCGCAGGATTTTGAGGTGCATGTGGGTGGGCGGAGACTTGACTCTGGGTCCCGGGGTGCGCCCCAGATTCTGACAGGAGGGAGGTTTTCATATACATTTTACTAATTTTCTTTCATCTCTGACACTTCTATTATAGAGAAAGGGCAAATAGCAATATTAAGTTATTTCCTCTGATTAATCCCCTTGTAATGTGCACGAATTCCGTGCACGGGGTTCCAATAATAAAAGAGAACTATGCTTTATAAAGGGCAACTATGCATCTGATCCCATCTCCAAGAATTATGAGTCCAGTCCATCGGGGCCATTCTTTCATTCTATAAACATTTATTCTGTGCCTACGGTGTGCCAGGCGTAGCACAGAGACCACAACAGACTAAAAAAGAAGTTTAAAAATCCCTTCTCTGCTAATAGCAGGAATGTCTCCCCAAGAGTTACCTCCTGCAGACCACGCCCGGGCCCCACTCCCCCCACTCCCGCCGCCACCCGCCCGAACCGGCCAGCCCCTAGGCTTCCGGCCCCAGCCCCGCCCGGCCGGGACCCCGTGCGCCCGGCGGCCCGGCGGGCGGAGGGAGCGGCGCCCGCGGTGCCACGTGCCCGCCGCCCCGCGCAGGCGCCGCCCCGCGCGCCCGGGACGCCATTCGCGGCTCTGGGCTCGCGACCCGCACCCCACCGGCCCGGCCGGCTCCCCGCCACCGCCTCTTACCGGCGCTCTGGCTCCGGCGCCGCGGCCTCCCTGCTCCCGGCGTCCGCCCCGCGGGGCGCCTCGTCCCCGGCCGCCGCGGAAGCCCCGGCCGCGGCCCCGGCGGCCTCCGTCCCCGCCGCCGCCGCCCGCCGCCGCCGCCCTCTCGCGGTCGCGGTCCCCGCCGGGCCGGTCGCGGCCGGGCCGGCGTCCGTGGCCGCCCCGAGCGCCGCGGTCCGCCTGCATCTGCCCGCGGCAGCCGTGCGAGCGCGGGAGCCGGGCCACCGGAAACGGCGCCGGAGCCGCGAGGGGCCGGTGCCCGCGGCGTGCGGCCCGGAGCCCGGGCGGGGCGGGGCGGGGCGGCGGCGGCAGGTGGGGCGGGCGCGGGCTGGGAGGGCCCGGGGCTCCGACGGAGGCCCGACCCCGGGGAGCCCGCAGCGGGGCGGGGTGGTATGGGGTAGGGACAGTGATAGTGAAAGGACGGGTTATAAAGTTTGTATAATATAAATTCGCTTTTGTAAAAACGTGTATATATATATATATATATATATATACACACACACACACACAAATATTGGAGTATTTGCATAAAACTACTTTTGCAGTTTAATTTCCTGATTATTAAGAATGAATATAATTGTAAAGGTACTGAACTCGGGGTTCAAGAGCGGGTGTGGAGGAGGAAAAGGCGGGTGGGCCCAGGGGAGAGGTGGCGTGGGCTGCAGCCAGCAACCAGGAGGGGAGAGATGGGTCCCAAACTGGTGATGGGAAGGCCAAGCCCTGAGTCCTCAAGAGAGTGCCTGCAGAGTGACAGCTTTCGCTCTCTTACTGAGCACATGGGCATGCAGTCCCGCTAACAGCCTGTTACCCCCATTTGCATGTGAGGAAGCAACTCTAGAGAAGTTAACTGGCCTGGTGTAACAGGACTAGGTAACGGGAACTAGCATTCTCACTGCAGTCTATCGGAGTGCTTCACTTACTTGGCAGAAATATTTTGAGACTCTTTATTAATGTTTGGTTTCTTTTATACCTAAATAGTAATCCATTTCATAGATCAGTATATTTTTAACTAAGGGGAAAAGGGCAATTAGTTACAAGAAGTCATGGAAGTGACTTGGAAGTCATTTTTAACTTTGTATTGCAGAAATCACATGAAATAAAAACAAGGACTTAAAATGTCCATCATGCAATCAGTGTTGTAAAACAAGTGTTTTCTTCTTCCACAGTCTTTTCTGGCTTAAACACACACAAACACACACACACACACAATGTATTCATTGTTTTAGTTGTCTACTCAGTGTCAGGCACAGTGCTAGGTCCTGAAGATTAAAAAAAAAAAAAATGCCCTCAAATAGCTCACTTCCCACAAGAAAAATACTCCTGTAAACAGATGATTGCAGTAGAGTGGTGAATACAGTGGGTGGCTCAAGGTGAAGGCCCAGGGGAAGAAAATTCAAACTATACCTAAGTGAGGAGTTGCCTGAGGCTTCATGAGAAATAGACCCTTAAGCCAGGGCCTGAGGTTTGAGCAGGAGTTTGCCTGGTTGATATTCTGTGGAGGAGAATTAGAATTCTAGGCAAAGGCATTTTGGAAACCAGTGGGAAAATGTAGGCCACAAATAGTGCCTGAATTAAGTTATGTGCCAAGGAGGCAGATAATAGGGACTGAAGAATTAACAGGACTTTGTGTCCATTGGGAAAGTCGGGGGGGGGGGGGGGGGGGGAATAAGAAAGTTAAGATTGATGCCCAGGTTTCCTGCTTGAATGACCAAATAGTTGATGCCATTAGTCAAGAGAGGGAAAGCAGGAGAGACTGTTGTTAGGATAATATTTTTTAAAATATATTTCTATTGATTTCAGAGGAAGGGCACATCAATGATGAGAGAGAATAATTGATTGGCTGCTTCCTGCACGGCCCCCCACTGGGAATGGAGTCCACAACCTAGGCATGTGCCCTGGCCTGGAATTACACCATGACCTCCTGGTTCATAGGTCAATGCTCAACCACTGAGTCACAATAGCAGGGCAGAATGATAGTCTTTCCCCTTTTTCCCCCCTTGTCTCTACTTGTAAAATTAAGACTTACCACGGTGTTCAGGATTAAGTTATTCATTCCCATATTGAAACTCAAGTAATCCTACCTCTAGAGAAACACTAAGACAACAGGAAAACGAGACGAGTAGAGAGCATTGTATCCTTTTCTCTGCACACCATAAAGGAGCTAACAGGAGATAGATGAATATGAATATTATTTTTAAGAACCCAATGGACAACCTGTCCCCCTTGTGTGGCCAGAACTGATAGAGGTTTGGTACATTGTCTCTTCCTAATCCCATGGTCAGTACATAAACTTGATATCTTGAAATGGGCCACAGTGGAAACTGTTACACCACAGACATGGGCAAACTTCTGCCAATCAGGGCTTTGTTGGGGGTGAGGCAGAAACAGGTTGTTAAGTTTCACGCACACCACAGATTTGGGCTCTCCTCAAGGTGAACATCCATAAATCTCATGCCAGACATTAGCACAAATCAAGAGTTTCTCAACGTGGGCACATTTAGAGGTAGATCATTTTTGTGGTGGGAGCTTGTCCTGAGCATTAGTGTTTAAGAGGATCCGGCCTCTACCACTCAGCTGTCCCCCTTATCAACAGGGGATGTGTTCCAAACCCCAGCAAATGCCTGGAACGGGGGATAGTACTGAAAACTATATACTGGTTGTTGTTTTTTTGTTTTGTTTTGTACTTACAGACCTAATAAAAAGTTTAACTTATAAATTAGACAACAATAGCCCTAGCCGGTTTGACTCAGAGGGCAGAGAGCTTCGGCCCGTGGACCAAAGAGTCCCAAGTTCGATCCCTGTCGAGGGCATGTACCTCATTTGCAGGCTCATCCCCTGTCCCCAGCCTTGGTCGGGGTGTGTGCAGGAGGCAACTGATCGACGTGTTTCTCTCACACCGATATTCCTCTCTCCGTCTTTCCCTCTCTCTTCCACGCTCTCTAAAAACCTGTGAAAAATACCCTCAGGTGAGGAGTTAAATAAATATAATAAATAAAATTAGACAATAATACTAAAACAATATGACAATATGTTGTAATAAAAGTTATCTGGCCAGTGTTGCTCAGTGGTTGAGCATCAACCCATGATGGTTCGATTCCCAGTTGGGAGTTGTGGGCTCGATCCCCAGTAGGGGGCGTGCAGGAGCCACTAGTCACTGCTGCGCTCCCCTCACCCCCCGCGCCTCCTCCCATCAGTGCTCCCCCAATCCCTTCGCCCCTCTCGCAAGTGACTTGGCTGGACTGGCGCCTCCTGTTTGTCTGCTCACCAGCCCCACCTGCTCGCCAGCCTGCCCCCCATCGACCCCATCAGTTCCACCATTCAGTCAATTTGCATATTATGTTTTTATTATATAGGATACGGCATTCTCTCAACTTACTGACCATGGAACCATTTTCTTTTCAATCAAGCATCGTGAAATGGTCTTAATGAGCAGACTTTGAGGAAGACTGTGCTAGCCTTGGCTCTCTTCGATGTTATTGTTTTGCTGGTTGGGAGCATTTGCTCTGCCCCTAGAACACCAGCTGCACAAACTAAAGGGAGACCTATCACTTGCACCACAAAGTACTTCACACAGCCAGTACCTCAAACACCAAAGCACTGCCTCGTGGTCTCACCCCACTTTGTCCCCTGATAGACCACGCCTCAGATCCATTCCCACCGCAGGGAGAGTCTCCTTATGGCTTGCATTAGCACAAATCAAGAGTTTCTCAACGTGGGCACATTTAGAGGTATCGATAGATCATTTTTGTGGTGGGAGCTTGTCCTGAGCATTAGTGTTTAAGAGGATCGTAATGAACATTACCATGTCAGGCACTTTGAGAAACACTTCACATGGATTATCTCATTTAATCCTTAAAATATTCCTAAGAGGTAATGACTCTTTATTATCCCCACTCTAAAACTTTGAGTCTGAAATTTAGGGAGGGTAAGTACTATGCTGAAAGCCATAGCTCAAAGCTGCGATTTGGACCGGAAGCTCCCAATGCCAGGCTCAGTTGTATAATTATGAGATGATGTTGCCACTTTAAATGTGCTGCTTTTCCATGCATCAACGAGTTTATTCTGCTAATCAGAGAGAGAGATAGGAAGAGAAAGTTTTAAAGAATTGGTTCGTGCAATTGTGGGGGGCTAGCAAGTCTGCAATGTGCAGTGCCGCCAGAGGGCTAGAAGTTCCAGCAGGAGTCAGCGCCATAGTCTGGAGTCTGGAGGCAGAATTCCTTCCTCTTTGGCAAACCTGTCTTTTCCACAATCGCCTTCAACTGATTGGATGTGGCTCACCCACATTCTGAAGGGTAATCTGCTTTATCTGAAGCCTACTGGTGTCAATATTATTCACATCTAAAAAATACCTTCAGAGCAGCATCTACATGGCTGTTTGACCAAGTAACTGGGTACCTAGCCTAATCAGGTTGACAAATACAATTAATCACCACATTACATAAACTACAAAACCATAGAAATGTAGGTATCTTAGATTTATAGTCCAATTTTCTTATTTTTGCAAATAAAGAATCAGGTCAGAGAAAATATGCACTCAATTTATCTGTTATAAATTGCTCACTAAAATTAAGTGGGAATTAAATCCTTCCAAAGCACCAATTATTTCTATTTTGAAGACTTGATTCGAACAGCTCAGCAATCAGTTAGTCAGTTCATTTTACTATGTCTCCCCAGCACCATGGATGTTGGGACCACCTTCAGAGCAGGTGGGGCATCTGGAAACAGCTGACACAGTTCTCCCAGAAAGCAGACTTGTCCCAGGTCCACTCCTGTCCCTCTCACCCCACCCTCAACCACTCTGGGTTCACCTCTCCCATCTCAGGCTTCCTAGGACTGGGCGCCTCCTTTTGCCTTTAGGCGTACAAACAAGCTCTTCCCAGATGGGGCTGAAACATTCTCCCCCAACTCCACCCCATCCTTTTTGCCTAGCTAAAGCCCATTCATGTTTCAAGTCTGGGCTTGGAAATTTTTCCTCAGAGGTGCTTTCCCCACCATCTCTTGACAGGGTTAGATGCCCTTCACTTGTGTCCTCTGGCATGCAGAACCAACCCCCAGATATTTATCTATACCCCACTAGAGTCTTGTCCATAGTATCCCCAGCATTAGAATCTATCACATAACAGACAGTCAATAAATATTGATTGAAAGGACAAGAGAGAGAGGGAGGGAGGGAGAAAGAAAGGAGG